CCTACTTCATAATCTTTTACCGCGTCTAATTTATTAGCGACATTTCCTTTTCAAAGTAAAGTAAAATACAAAATAAATATGCTGATTAAAAGCAGCTATGTTTTGATGACGTAAATGTCAGGTGGTGAGGAAGCGTGTGGACCGACTGTAGCGAGGGAAGCGAGTGAAGGGAAGCGGGCCCGGGCAGGTAGGCTGGCTCTGGAGTCGGAGGGGGTTTGGCAACAGCTGATCTGTGACTGGAGAGTGCATGGTAGGAAGTGGCGTACATGCCGGAAGTGATCCGGAAATGGAGGATGAAGTGTTTGACGCGGATGAAGGCGGGAATGGAACTAATGAAGAGTATAGTAGAAAATCGAAAAGGAAAGAAAAGCTGGAGTAACGCATCTGCAACTGACAGAGAAAATGGAACACATCTGACAAGAAGAAGGAAGGAAGAGTATAAGGTAGTGATGAAACTTGAAACCGGATCTTTCAGTATCATTAATCCGCTGAAATTATCTAAAACAATTAAGGAAGTGATAGGACTGATTGAAAGTGTTAAGAAGTTGAGGGATGGTAGATTGATAATATATTGTAAGGATAGTAGGCAACAAAAGAAGGCTCTAGGAGTTAAATCGATCATGGGACAAAGTGATTTGTTCAGTACAAAAAGAAATGGGTGAAAGGAGTAATAACAGGGATCCCCACAGATGTAACAGTTGAAAAGATTAAGAGAGGTCTTACGGGAGCCGCAGTGATTGAGGTGAAAAGACTAAAATGCAATAGGAATAATGAAAGGGGAGACAGTCTCTCTGTGATGAATAATTTTGATGAGGACAAGCTGCCTAGTAAAGTCTTTTTGGGATTTATGAGCTTCTCGGTCAGGCCCTATGTACCCCCTCCTCTAAGATGTTACAAATGTCAAAAGTTTGGGCATGTAGCGGCTGTATGCAGAGGCAAACAGAGGTGCGCAAGATGCGGCGGAGACCATGAGTATGGCAAATGTGGGCAAGGAGTTAATCCCAAATGTTGTAATTGTGGAGAGGATCACAGTGCGGGATATGGAGGATGCAAGGTGAGGAAACATGCGGCTCAAGTTCAGAATGTTAGAATACAGGAAGGATTGTCATACTCTGAGGCTCTAAAACAGGTAGGAAAGAATTTGGAATCAGGAGACAAAAGTAAAGAAATCCTTCAACAAAAGACTGATATGGCAAAGGAAAAAACTCAAAACTCAAGAGAGATTAAGAACAATGTTGCATTTGTTACTTTTATGGCGGAAGTAGTGAACTGTTCAGCGCACAGCGCAAGCCGGACAGAAAGAATCAGAATTATAATCAAAGCAGCGGAAAAGTATCTAGAGATCGAGGGTATCTCGGTGGATATGATTAATGAGAACTTAAAGATGCAGACAACATACACCCAACCAGGATGTGGTGGTACATAATGGTGCTTTTAATATTTCAGTGGAATGCGAGAAGCTTAATAGCTAATGGGCAAGAATTTAAAAAATTCATTTCTGATTTGGAAAATAAACCTAATAAACCTGATGTTCAAGAATCATGGCTCAAACCTCAGTTGAATTTTGTTTTACAAGGATATGTGGTTATTGTGGTTATCAGGAAACAAGGTAATGGAGGTGGGGTAGCTACATTTATAAAACAAGGTGTGGGATATAGGAATGTTGACGTGAGTGTGGACCAAGAGGTGGTTATGATGGAAGTCTGGGAAGGCAGTCATACTATTAAAGTAGTTAATTTTTACAATCCATGTGAAAAGTTAAGTAAGGAAGTATTGGAAAATATAAGAGGTAACACAAATCAGAAAGTAATATGGTCTGGTGATTTCAATGCCATAATACACTATGGGGGAGTATTAAAACAGATTATAATGGGCTGATTGTGGAAGAAATGTTAGATTGGGGACGGTTAGTATGTATTAACAATGGATGTTGTACGAGAATAGATGTAACTCATGGGCGTAAATCAGCTTTAGATATCACTCTAGTGTCAGAAAATCTAGCTAGAAAATGTGAATGGAATGTAAGTAAACAAAGTACAATGGGAAGTGATCACTATCCAATATGGTGTAAAATTGGTGTGGACATCATACAAACCTTGGTGGAGAGAATTCCAAGATGGAAATTTAATGCAGCCAACTGGGAGCTTTTTAAAGAATTGTGTCATAACAAGATGTGTGAAATAGAAGATGGTATTGAAAGTATCGAAGAGTTAAGTAAGAAAATAAGTGAAGTGTTAAGAAATACGGCAGAAGAAGTAATTGGCAAAAAGAAAACTATAAATAGTAAAAAAGCAGTCCCGTGGTGGAATAACGAGTGTAGTAAGGCAATTAGGGAAAAAAAATAAAGCGATGAAGAAAGCCAGAAAATCTGTATTGTTTAGTGAGTACATTAACTTTAAGAGAGCACAGGCAAAAGTGAGGAGGGAGGTAAGAAAAGCAAAAAGAAATTACTGGAGAGAATTCTGTAATAGAATTGGGGAAGAAATTGAAATGAATGAAGTTTGGAATATGATTAGGAAGATGGGAGGGATTCAGAGAAATAACAATATTCCAGTGTTAGTAAATAATGGAAAAATAGCAATAAAAGACTGACAAAGCAGAGATGTTAGTGGAAGCATTCGTAAAGGTGCACAGTAATGGTAATATTTCAGATAATATGAGGAGATATAGGGAACAGAAAGTTAGGGAGAATGCTCACATTTATGTAAAGAAGAATCCATCAGGAAGTATGTTAGACTCAGAATTAACTTTGTATGAGTTAAAGAGAGCGCTTGCAGGGGTCAAACATACTTCTCCAGGCAAGGATGACATATGCTATGAGATGATAAAGCACTTATCAGAATTATCATTAAGTATGATTTTAAGACTTTTTAACAAAATATGGGAGACAGGGAATTTGCCAGAAGATTGGAAGCATGGGGTCATAGTGCCAATAGCCAAACCAGGAAAAGACAAGTCTCAGCCAATTAATTATAGACCTATTGCGCTGACATCAAATTTATGCAAACTTATGGAACGGATGGTTATGAACAGGTTGACTTATGTGATTGAAAGTAGAAACATATTTTCAGCATGTCAAAGTGGATTTAGAAAAGGGAGAAATACGATGGATTCAATATTGTGTTTGGAAGCTGAAATTCGAAAAGCTCAAATTAATAAAGAGGTGCTTGTGGGAGTCTTTTTGATGTAGAAAAAGCTTACGATATGTTGTGGAAAGAGGGGCTTTTAATGAAATTGGAAAGCTTGAGAATTGATGGAAAAATGTATAACTGGATTCTGAGTTTCTTGTTTGGAAGAACAATTCAAGTAAGAGTAGGGACTGCTTTTTCTCAGATTCTCCCAATTGAGAATGGAACTCCCCAGGGAAGTGTGAGCAGTCCTATTCTTTTTAATTTAATGATAAATGACATCTTTCATAACGTTGATACTGGAATAGGAAGATCATTGTATGCGGATGATGGAGCACTATGGAAAAGGGGGCGCAATGTTTTATTTGTAGAAAATAAAATGCAAAAAGCAGTGAATGAGGTGGAGAATTGGGCGAATTGTTGGGGTTTTCGGTTTTCTGTGGCAAAAACACAAGTAATATGCTTTTCAAAAAAGAAAAAGAATCCAAGTTTGAATGTCAAAATGTATGGTTATCAGCTGGAACAAGTAAATGTACTAAGATTTTTGGGTATGTGGATGGACTCTAAATTAAATTTTAAAATTCATATTCAGAAATTGATAGAAAAGTGCAAAAAAGGAATAAATGTATTAAGGTGCTTGTCCGGAGCTGAGTGGGGGGCAAGCTGTCAGTCATTGAAAAGAATTTATGGTGCTGTGATTAGGTCAAACATAGATTATGGTAGTGTAGTTTATAGTTCTGCGAACAAAACCTTACTTAAAAAGATAGAGGTAATACAAAATCAAGCTTTGCGCATTTGCTGTGGAGCATTTAGATCTTCTCCGGTGGCTTCATTACAAGTTGAAATGGGAGAATTGCCTCTAGAACAGCGTAGGTTTCAGCTGAGATTAAGGTACTGGTATGGTGTAAAGGGACATCTGGAAAACCATCCAGTTAAACTAATTCTGAAAGATTGTTGGGAATATGAATACAAAGAAATTACAAGCTTTGGTTGGGTAGTAAGGAAGGAGGCAAACAGCTTGGAGTTGAAAGACCATGAAATTGCTCCTTCTGTTGCTATTCCAGCAATTCCTCCTTGGTTGTTCCCTATGCCACTAATTGATTTACAAATTCACAAAATAATAAAAAAACCGGAGATGAACATGCCAACTGAAGTAGTAGTTCAACAATATATAAAACAAGAGTATTATTCTGTGTTACAGGTATTTACAGATGGGTCTAAGGAGCCAGAGTCTGGGAGAACAGCAGCAGCAGTTTATATTCCTACTTTTAAAATAAAAATGGCTAAAAGATTATCAGATCACGTGTCAGTTTTTACTACCGAATTATTAGCTATCATACTAGCTCTACAGTGGATTGAAGAAGTTCAACCAGATAGAACTGTGATATGTACTGACTCAATGGCTGCGCTCACTAGCCTACTAAGTGGTAAATCTGAAGCTCGGCAAGACTTAGTATTTGAAGTTTTACAAAGTTTGTTTAGAATAAGGCAGTTAAGGATAGAGGTACGATTCCTCTGGGTGCCTGCACATGTGGGGGTGGATGGAAATGAGGAAGTAGACTTGCTAGCAAAGAAAGCATTAAATCATACACAAATAGAAATTAAGTTAGCTTTAAATAAAGCTGAATTCAAGAGAGTGATATCATATGAAGTAAGTAAGAAATGGCAAAAGTTATGGAATAATGGGTCTAAAGGAAGACATCTTTTCCAGATTCAGGAGTGTGTTGTTTTTTTTTTTTTTTTCCTTTCTTTCCCTTCTGTATTTCTTTCTTCCAAATTTATGCACACTCCACACTCCAGATCAGTAGGTGGCGGTAATGCACCTCTTTCGCTGGTTTGGCAAACCGCCATAAAACACCAGAAGAAGAGGAAGCGTGTGCTATTGGTTGGCCTGAGCACGTGGACAACTTCCCGTCTCAGTCCAAAATATTCACAGCGCGTGTGGTCATGGCAGAGAAAGTGGATCTTATCGCTAAGTGCATTAGAACGTTCCCTGATTTCCCTACAAAGGGGATTCCATTCAAGTGAGTATTCATATACAATATCATTGTAATCTGAGCGGGCCGTGCGGAATAAGGCAGAGTGGGAAAGAGATGTACGGGTTTGGCAGTAAGGGTTGCCGTTTCTGTTTGTTTGCAGGGATATTTGTCCGATCCTGAAGGATCCGAAGGCGCTGGCTGCAGTGACAGATCTGTTTGAGGAGCACGTGAGGCGCACCTATCCTCAGGTGGATCTTATAGTCGGTAAGAGAGTGCATATGCGTGTGGCACGCTACAAGGTTCAAAGTTGCAAAACTCCTGATAACCCTTGTGGGAGGAAACAATGATTTTTATTGGATCCGATCCTGATGGAATCAAATGAAGATGCCTTATTAAATAAAATGGGATTCTTACAGGATTTTATGTGATTGTTAGAATTCTATTGGATAGTGTGATATTGTGTAATGCATATTGTTCATTTGGAATTACAGAACCGTTATCCACCTTTTTCCTACGCCCCATGACGCTGCGCAAATTATAGGAGTAAAATATGGTGGCCGAGAAGTGCAAAACAAATCACAATTCTGAAAACAAAATAACAAATTACAAACGCAAATGCAAGTCTAAAAAACAAAATAACAATTCAGAAAACATTATAACAAGTCAGAAAACACAATGACAAATTCGAAAACGAAATAAGTCAGAAAACACAACTACAAATCCGAAAACAAATTAACAAGTCAGAAAACACAACGACAAATCAGACAAACCGGAAGAGGTAGGTATAGTTTGAGACAGCGCCATTGGTTTGGGATTACTCACCGCTGACTGGACGAGACATCTGTCAATCAACGTATACAGGGAAGAACCAGCC